CCAGAGCCTGTACTACAAATAACCTCAGTCCTGTAACTGGAGAGAGCCTTGGTAGACCTTAGTTATCTGTGCTGTTGGATCAAACGCTCACCTCCATAAACCTGCAACTTTTGTCTATAAAATTGTTCCTACTGCTATTGGGATCACAAAATCAGTTGGCTGGCATGAGTTCTCTTAGAAGTGTCTCAGAAGAAAGAGATTTCTTTGGAAAGCAAATTGGAAGAGACTTGATATCCAGTGGCTTCTCAGTAACTCTCTTTTTTAACATGAGCAGATGGAGCCTGTAGGATGCTTAGCTGTGGAGCTGGCTGTGGGCTGGATGCCAGTAAGGAACTGGGCACAGATGGGAGAGTGGCAGTTCCTTACCCAACCTCCCAGTGCTTTGGTTTACTCAGCATGGGCCATACCCTCCTCATATGAGTATTGCTAGGGGGTTCATTTCAGTGGAACATGGACATAACCCATCTAGCTTTCATAACTGACCCAGCTCAGTGGCTCCAGCAGGATTTTTCAAGCGCTCTGGCATTTGGTATCCCCTCAAACCACTAGAAGAAAATCAGCTACCCTATAGTAAGTTCTTTGCTGCCAGAACTACAGCACTTTCCAGTACCAAAGCTAGCTAGTTCAATGCTTGCTTCTATTTATATCCAATAAATACCTAAACACATCAGCACATGCGATGCTGGGAGCTTGTTACTGTTTGTTTTAGAGTTCTAGGCTGATCTTCAACATCTGCGTCAGCATCCTGGGCTAATACTTGTTGAATCCACAGCTGGAACTCCTAAAAATTAATGAAGCTTATATGAACAGTATTGCCTACATTCCTGTGGCAATAACACTGTAAAAAGAAATGCTTCAGTCTCTTCCACACCAGCCTGGTGCAGCCAGGTCCTGAGGGAGTGGGTGAGCAACCAGAATGCTTGGAAAGGAAACAAGAAATAAAGGGGACACTACTCCTGTAAATAGAGGAGCAAAGGAGAACACAGAATTATATCTAAAGGCAGACCTGTTTGACCTTTTGTTTTTACACTTTGTTTGTTTTACACCTTGTGAAAATATTCCTTCTGTGTTTTTGTGGAGATAAGAATTGAGCAGAAATTAGTTACTTCAGTGGTGTGGTGCTGCTGGTATTGGGGTTTTTTTCAATGTATTGCTGTGGCTTTCTGTCAGACTCTGGGAACTGAAAGTACACTGAAGAGTCTGTTCAGGGAAGATGTTGGTAGGGGTGTTTTGTCTTGGTGGTTTGGATATTTTTTTCCCCCATCCTCATGCTGCGCTGCAACGAGAGGCTGTCTTTGAAAGTTTTGCCAGGGATCCTCCTGTAGTTTGCTTGCTAGTTACAGATTACTAATATACTCTGTGTTACACACGTTTCTACCTTTTATAAATTCCTTCAGAGACAAGTTCCAAGTCAAAAGGATGAGAAATCGTCATTAAAATACCATCCTAAGTTTCTATATCCTTTTAAAAATGCATTAAAAAGTGTTACCAAGGGCTGCTAGCTAGTGATCTATCACTAATGCCTTTCACTGTCACCTGGAATTGTATCGGTACCAGTGGCTGGTCTGTTATGCCAGTGATGGGCTGGTACTCCTGAAAGAAAATAGTGAAAAATTGAATTATGTTGTTGTGCGCTTATGCAATACTGAAACAGCGTGGATGGAAAAGATTTGCTCTCCAGCCCCATAGCACTGGCTGTGTGTCCTGAAACTTGAAATTTAATTTAGCACTGCCTTAGATGGAAGAACCTTTTATTTTTTTATTTTTTTCCTCTCCTGTTTGAGAGCTCTACTGACTTGCAGAGGTCTGACAATCTTCCCATTCATTCATGTTCTAGAATCTGGAGGTTGGGGCCTGTCTCCATCACTTCTCTATTTAAGGTCTTAAATTTTTTAATTCCAGCCATGTGGATGGGATACTGGATGATCTGTGAACAGATTTGTTCTAGCTAGGTCAGGTTTCCGAGTATCCTATGATTTTTTTTTTCTTGTTTTCTTATTTAATCCCCTGCTTGTCTTGCAACTGATTATTTCAAAGGTTCCTGGGTATTCTTATCGCCTATAGATGTGAGCCCACATGCCCTAATTTGAGCTGCTTAAATTGGGGACCACTATTCAAAATTTGAACCATGGTGTTCTGCTTTGAATTAGTATCTCGCTCTGGGCTACTGGCCCTTGGCCATTTGCACAGCTTTTTTGGCAAAACCAAAGGAATGTGTGCTGGGCTTCAAGCAAAGAGACCCCTTTGTTGTAAAGGTTTGGGACTTCCATGGTGTAAGTTTAAAATTTAACTTTTCATTCAGTGTGGGTGCCCCTGAATATACACATCTGCCTTTGTCAATTTAAATGTTGGTCAGGTGAGTTTTGACAACCTTTCTGTGGAGCAGCTTGGCTGTTGAATGGAGCTTAGACCTCCCTGTTGTTTTCTCTGACTTGGCTGTTCTCTTGCTTCGCTTGTTTTGCAGCAAAGCAGACCCAGCAATGGCTAGGCAAAGAGATGAGAGAATACTTGGAATTATTTCTCCTGCAAATACCTGCTGCAGTCATGTTTCAGTGTTGCTGAATGGGAAGAGTATCCCCTCACTCTGCGTAACTCAGGTTGTACCCTACAGTTAGGATTTGCAGAAATCCTCACGGATGCATACAGGCCAGATTCTGACATAGTGAAAATTAGTGTATTTACTCCAAAACACATGAGACTTGAAAATAGATTTGTGTAGTTTCATATGTTGGTTGATGAAAGAATTAAGCCCGATGATTTGTCTAGTTCCCCCAAGAAAGACTTAGCTGGGGGAACGTTGACATTTAGATGCCTTTTAAAACCACACTGTGAACCAGTTTTTCCTCTTACTCGTGTTGGTGCAACTAAGAAGGACAGTCTTGTCTAATGCACTAGACAGGGGCTCAGTTCCTGAGTTCAAGCTTCCTGGCCCTGCCACCGATTTCCTGAGTGCGCATGGATAAGGCTCTTCACGTTTCAGTTGCCTGCTTGCAGAAGGGGGAGAGTGTTCCTCTGCCCATCCTCTTCAGGTCTGAAGAAGAGAGTCTGTCCTTCAGTGTGTCTGTACAGCATCTGGCAACATGGGATCAAATGTTAAGCCAGATCTAAAAGTGTTGCTGATGAATAATAGGAAAATCAGAGTGTTTCTTCTCCTGTTTCTTTTTTTTTTAATTGCAACACATGTGAAGCCCCAGCCCACCCTAGGCTGTACTCTGTGGTGGGATTCCTGGAGGCCTGACTTCAACACAGGTGGCTCAGAGCACTTGGCATTGTCCAAATAGAAAGTGAACTCCCACGTTCAAGGCAAGAAGGGCAAGAAGACTGTTTTAACCAGACTAGGACATGAGGTAAATGGGACTGTTGTCCATCTCTGGCAGCTGCTGATGGACAAGCCTGTGTATCATAAGAAGGCCATTGTTCATGGCCACCCCGATGAAGAAATGCATGCCGCTAACAACAGGCTGTTTTCATCAGCTGAGCTGACAAATTGGTTTTCTTCTGTAACTCCAAGTCAGCTGTTGCTTTATAGCAAATGCCTTGGACAGAAATACAAGGCATCATGTTTCCTATTTGGGTACTATCTCTTTGGACATTACTTGCACTTTCTGATAAGAAACTAGTACTGAAACAGTGTCCCACTTACTGGGAAGCAGTCAGTCCTATTTTAAAGATGAAAGCAAATGGTGTCTTGTACTGAAAAATACTATGACCACAGCACTCTACCTTTTGCACAAATGCCTCAGGTGAATAAAGCTACCTACTGCTCCTACTTTTCATTCTTTTTAACTGTCAACTTGTAATGAGTAAGCAAATACCCAAAGGAAACTGCAAAAAATGAAATGTGACTTATACACAATTGCCAGAAATTTATAGGCTTCAGCTGAGACAGAGTTGCCCTGTAGTGAAGAAGCTGGCAAATATGAGTATTTGCTATCTCACAGATTATCTGTGATCTTAGGAAAGTAGTTTGCTCTGTTCTTCCTTGGTTTCCTGTCTTAAAACAAAACAAAACAAAAAAACCAAAAACCAATAAGAGCACTTTATGAAGATGCTGAAAGATATACTAGAGACAGAAGTATTCAGATACAGGTGATGGAGAGAAGAAACACAGACGCTGTTTCAGGTGTGCTTACCTGAAGATAAGCTCACAAATGCACAGACCTGCTATGGAGACTTACCAGCCAGGGGAGCTATTTGTTTGGCGTTAATGTGTGTATAATTAGCTTTATTTACCTGAGCTAATGTATCCCATAGATCATTAGTCTGGGATGCTCCGAACCAGTAGGATCCAACTCTCCAGTCTGGGGTGGACATGGACCCAACTAGCTGGAGTCTGAGTCTTCACAAGTACTGCAGCCCATGCTGCTCTTCAGCAGGATTTCTGCCACTGGGGTTACCACTGGACACTTACTAACCCCCTTAGCACTGCTGTTACTGAGTCTGCCTTTATAAGGCTCTGAGGAAAGAAAATGTTTAAAGGAAAATAAATAAAGTTTGGTGTTTGTTTTGGTGGTTGTTTTTTTTCAGTAAGAAATAATTAGCCTTTTTCATGTACATTTGAAGTTCTCTGATAAATTTGGTAGCAGGCAGGAAGATATGAGTTTTATTTTTGGATGGTCGATGCATTTTCTCTGCAGCTTCTGACAAAGAAGTCACAGAATACCAATGGGGAAAACACCTATTTTTCATATGGTGATGTTCACAAGTAATAAGTCTAAGTAATGAATGTTAGTAGCGTTCTTCAAGAGCTTTGGGGGGAGAATGTGGTGAAGAAATACATCGTGGTACTGTTATTATCTATTCCTTTACCACACTGAACATAACAGAGACAGGCTGCAAATACTTAACTCTCTAAAACCGATGCTCTGAGAAATGTTTAATTTGAGAACAGGCGTACTTGAATTAAATTGAAGTTAAGGTGGAGATACACACCGAACTGGAAACCAGTTAACACGTTTGTTTTTGTAACTGTGCGACACTGGTGGTTTTCTTCTCTGCAGAATACCTTGGCAAAGGCACTGTACGACAACAAAGCGGAGTGCTCAGATGAACTGGCCTTCCGCAAAGGAGACATCCTGACGGTTCTGGACCAAAATGTCATTGGCAGTGAGGGCTGGTGGAAATGCTCTCTCCACGGCAGGCAGGGCCTGGCCCCCGCGAACCGCCTCCAGCTCCTCACCGCCTCTCAGGCTGTCCTGCTGCCTCCTTCCACCCGGAGTGACTCCACAGAGTCACCAGTGGCCCAACAGAACATCTACCAGGTTCCTTCCGTCCCCAAGTCTACTGTGTTGTCATCTACCTATGAGAAGATGGAGGGGTGGGTTAAATCTCCAGCCAAGGTTTCTACCCTGTCTGCCCAAGGAGTATATCAGGTACCAGCCTTGGCTGCACAGCTGCTCAGTGAAAGGACCCAAAGCTCAACAAACCAGGTAAGAATATAAGCAGCTGTAAAAGTAACAAATTTTATTATTAAAATAATTTATTACTCATTGGAAGTGGGAAAATAATAAAGGCTATTGGTCTGAGCATTTCAGTGGAATTTGCAGCAAAGCCATTCAAATAAATGGTGTTTAGGAAACTCCCATCAATTCTACTATAGTTTACAGCAAGTGAGAAATGCTGCTCTGGGCAACAGATGACTCTATATTCTGTAGTCACTCACTTCTTTTGACAGTTTAAAGCAGCTGTAAAATAGGGCAGGAAGTAAAGAATACACCATTTGTTTAGAAGAATCTAGATATTATTTACAAATCTACCCTAAAGTTAAAATAACAAGGCACAGAACTTTTTCCTCTGATGGTCTACAGCATGTGTCTGGCCAGAGTCCTCTGGGTCACATGTGGGATCTTTGCACCTTGTCTGCACAGGAAGATGGTTTGTAATTTTAAAAAAAAAATAAACCCCACAACAAAAACCAAACACGTAAACACCCTTTGCTGTGTGATTGCTGCCTTTGGTTTAGTTTCTATTTCCGGCACCTCAACAAGCTCAGAGTGCTGCTGCCTCTCTCTTCTGCTACTCAGGGTTGTCACTGCACTCGCACAAAGTAGCAGCACATACTACAGACATCCTGGAGGGCACAGGGCTTAGATGTGTGGCCTGAATCAGCTTCTGTCCCAGGCTGGACAGTGACCAGGGTGTAAGGGATCCCAGGGGGGAGTTGCAAACCCAGATTGTCAGGGGTTTCATTGCAGCTGCCTGCCCTGGCCTCTTCTTTCTCCCCACTCCTTGCATTGGGCGTTCAAATGGACCATGTGCATGGAACATCTGATTTGACTAAATGTTGCATCAAGTGTCTTAACATCAAAAACCTTGTGCTTTCTTCAGCATAAAATAAATGAGGAATCTCCTTTAATAAAGGGTAAACAGATGGAGAGGGAGTTCAAGTACAAGTTGTTCAGTCCCATGAGCTCTTCAGCCCTGGGTGTCTCTTTATTCTGTGAATGAAAATCGCGTTAGAAGTATTAATTGGAAAAGGAAAGAAATTCAGCCCTGAACAATATAGCCTTTTAGCTGATTTAATGGTCATTTGATCTATGGGCTCAGTTGGCCACCTTTCCTTTCACTGTGTTGAAGGCAAGCTGCAGAAACTCAGGTGCTGGTTCCTTCTGTGTGGCAAATGGGTGTTGGAAAACAGACAAACTTGGTCCACCTCTGGTGACTGAATTCTCAGTGCTGCAGCTGCACATTCAGCCTTTGTGTACAGTTAGCATAACTGCAAGCTCAAACTGAGTAATAGCTACAAAAGACCCTTTTGCACTTGCTGTGATCTGATTTCTCCACGTTCCTAACCCTAAAGGTGCAAATTGAATGAGACTGATGCAGATTTTCCATGTTGTGCCAGTGAATCAGGCTGACGAGGTCATCTGTTATTCTTTATGTGAATGAATGGCCTAACAGAAGAGCTCCTTGGCTATTTCTGTCTCTGTTATTTCATGAGTTTGTATACCTAAGCTTTGTTTACTCTAACAGAGAAGGGAAAAAAAAAAAAAGTCTTGGCCTGCTTCTATTATTTAAAAGTTCAGATTTGCCCGAGCTGCCTCGTGGACAATGTCACAGCTGTTACTGCACCAGCTGTACCACGGTGGTCACAGCCCGTCGGCAGATGCACAGGGAGGCTCAGGGGGAGCAGCCTGTGCGAGCGCAGGACGAGCTGCAGCGCTCCCCACCGCCCTGTGTAGATCCTATGGGACAACTGGCAAAGATCCTGGCATACTCAGCTGTCCTCCAAGCAGCTGGGTAAAGCCACTCTAAGTCTTTGAGGGAGCTGACTGCAAGCAATAAAACAAAACAAAATCCCTCGAAACCTGTGTGCTTTCACCCCATAGAAAAGCCTCCTCACTTCTGCCTAATGCACAGGGCACCTTCTTGTTTTACTGTGACTCAAAGTACTTTAAAAAACAGTAAGGTATGATATTCAGTGACTCTCCTTTTTGCTGTATACTGAGTAAGATTTGTCCATCTGAAAACAGACCTGGGCTAAGGATGGCTTTCTTGATACCACTTATTTTTTTATTTTCTGCCTCTGTTACAGACAAGACAGCTCACATCGCAGAGTGGTAAGGGGATTTGTGTCCACTTCTCATTCCCTTTCTTCAGATGAGAGCTAAAAGCTTTCAGAAAGACAAAGCAAGCAGTGTAAAGCAGGAGTCCTGTTCCTCTGCCATATTTCCCCTAAATTCAGTCACTACAACACTCACACTATCTCCAGTTCTAAGTAATTTACTGTAACACAGAGGTGTTTCTGTGGGCCAGTAGTTTACAATACTCCATTTATAAACCAGCTGCAGAGAGACAGGATAAACCCATGCTAAATGAACAAAATTCCATGGGTTTGGGGTTGATTTTTAAAAAAGCTCTCTCCCAGCATTCATATTTTGGCGTCTTAATTGTCCCACACATCTGGTCATAGCTCTTAAGATGATGTTTCAAGCAAACAGGAGAATTAGTCTGTAATTGACCTAAATAATATAACTCCCATATTGGTCTTCTGTGTTTACAGAGCAGGACAGGACATCAGGGTAATTATGTTTACTCCTACCAAGTAAGTCAGTACAGAATAATATAGCTACTGAATAATGAACCTTAGCCTGTACCTTTTTGCTGCTCTTACTCCCACTAAATATGGCTCTGTGAGACTGGAGAAGTAGAAATTCCCCCACCTTCAATTTTTAGTGGTTCTGCTTTTGAGTAGTCTAAAGATTTAAGTGATAACTGAAGCTGGATTTTCTCCAAATTTTTTGCCTCCCTTGGTTAGTAAGGCAAATTTGTATGTGCCAATTCTTATCTTATCTGAAAATCAGAAATGCAGGCAAAGGAGAATTATAGGGAAGAAGTACCATGCCTTCTTGAAAGGTTAGTTCTGGTCTCTCACCATCAGTCAAAAGCTGAAGGGTTTTTAATCCCTTGATAGTGATTACTCCAGTGGTGACCTATTCACCTAATTGAGTTTTCAAAGATGTCCTGAGTTACTGTTCACTGGAGGTTTCTCATTATTGGTTTTTCTCCCCTTCTAAGTACCTGCTTACTCTCCCAAGAGCATGCAGAGCTTCAGTCCCAAATATCAGGAGCGAGGTGTATGATGTCCCATCCACGCAGCGCCGGGAGTCCTTACTCACACAGGTGAGTCCTGCCACGGTCCCCCCTCTGCAGACAGGACCCTGTAGGACCTCAAAATAGATTTTGAGGTAAATTCAATTGTTTCCCTCTTTGATTTTTGTAAAACTTGGCAGAAAATAATAAATTTTTAGGGAAGTTCAAAACCTAAAGCAGTTCTCTTATGAATTTGTTAGACACATAGAGAAATGTGTCTAAAATTTGGTACGTTTCTAATAAATATTTTCAGTTTTACTTTTACTGACTTCCAGGGCACAGATGAATTCTCAGTATCAGAGTGTCATCCACTCTGCCTTGGTTTATTGATCAGGAAATGTGCTTTGTCTCTGTGTCATTCTGTCAGGAAGATTTCGAGATGTTTACAGAAGAGTCACTAATGCATGTACAAAAAGAAACTAAATGTCATGGGCAACAAAAAGCAAGGGATTAGATCATGTAGCCGTGACGCACTCAGGGTAAGGGCAACATGTTGACTGTGTTTCCGCTGAAGTGTCCTGTTACGTGATCTTGGTGCTTGGAAAGCGAGTGTCACCATGTTTCCTCTGCATCTCCCTGCAGGCTGTGCAGGTCGCCAGGATGGGGCAGATGCCAGGCCCCAGCCCATCACCTAACACATGAAGGTGTGTGTGGGACTGGAGCACGGAGCCTCCCTGTGCACCTTACGCTCCCTGGCAGCACCTGACAGTGCAGGGCTGAGCCCACGCTAATTCATTTAGTACCAAGTTATCCACACGCGTCTGTGTGTCGCCCACTTTGTCCAGGCGGGTGATCCCTGCTCAGACCGAAGCCAGGCGTGCAGATGGCAGCTGCCTTGCGCTGCCTAGTGCCCCCCCGGGGTGCTGTGGCAGGCACTCAGCGGCTCTCAGCAGCCTGAGTTTGACCCACGCTGTCCAAACTAGGAGCTACGCAGTCTGTGACCTGAAAGCCTTTCATGCCACCAAAGTCTTCGGTGGGGTCTAAACCGGATTGAAGTCAACCTGGGTTTTTTTTCCCCTTTGACCAGAGCGGTGCCACTCCACCTACCGTGCGAAAGGGCTCTGTGCTGGTCAGATCCCCCGAGTGTTTCCAGGAAGAACAGAAGCAGCTTTACAACATCCCATCCAGCTCAGAAAAAGCAGGAGCTGTTATCCAGAAAGCCTCACCGGTGGGCAACGTAAGTAAGATTGGTTGGATACAAGAGAACGATCTCTCATTGCTGTGATGTTGGGCATGTGTGCTGAACCTCCCTCAAGGTGATCATGGGGATAAGACCAGCACATCTTCAGCACAGTACTTTGTCCTTCATATTAAAGAGACAAATACGACCTGTCTCCTAGATAGTTAGAGTACCAACTAGGACTAGAGCCACCACTGCGTTTGCATTTGCTCTTTAGACTGCAGGCAACATGATCTCTTGCCTGAACTTCTTTTTATAACAGTGTGAAAAGCAAATTCAGTACCCTAGATTCTTGAATGACTCTTTGTAATATTTAAGCAGATAGAAACTAACTGTCCCCACTCCATCGAGCACTCTCCTGCCACCTTTTTGGGAGTGAAGCACACCTGGCTTTGGGGGGGTCAGGCTTTCCATCTCTTCCCCACTGTTTGACAAGTAGTGAAGAAGGGGTTGATCTGAAATTTCACAAGTAATGAAGAAGGGGTTGATCTGAAATTTCACAGCAAAGAAAATGCCTTCATGGAAACTCTTTATTAGTTGAGTGCCAGGTATTTCAGGTTTCCTGCATGGTTTTAGGATCCAAGAGAATTTTGACAGACTCCGTATCACACTGGCCCAGGACTGAGGTGTGGGATGTCAGGGCAGATCGTCCCAGCACAGGAAATCTGAGGCTTCCTGGTTTTGTAGATTTACAGAGAAGTGCTGTAGGTTCACGGCTGCCCCACGACCGGAGCAGCCAGTCTTGCACAGAGCCTGCTCAGCAGTGACAGTAGGACTGGTGCTACCCAGAACTGGGGTGCTGGCAGATGAGCAATTGCTGACTGAAGCTGGCATTCCTGACATCGTCACGCCTGTTAGCAACTGTACCGACCAGCTGCAACAGCCTGGGAACAGATTTCCTCTCAGAGACATGATTTATCGTTGCTTCCAAAATCAAATTTTTTTACAATTCTCTGTTCATGGGCAATTTAGAAAATTCTGTCTTTGGTCTAAAACACTCTTGTCTGGGCTCCCCTTCTCACGCATATTTTTTGCAAATGGGGAAGACTGATCTGGCCAGTTCTTTCTAAAATTTTTGTTACGCAGCAATAACTTCAGTTGTTTCTTGTTGCTGCACACTCCTATAGTTCCTTGCACTCCCTCATGCTTGTGCTTCGTACTTGTAAGGCATCCAGATGCTACAGACTCTCCTGAAGCTCCTATTGGTATTAGTCTGGATTTTCTTACACAAGAAGTGGTCCTGCCTTCACGTTTTCCAGCTTAGAATTCAGCTGTACATACACGTATTTTTAAGACATTTGGCAAGACTTGCATCCGTCTTAGCAAACCTCTATCAAGTTAAAATTTAAACTCATTGCAATTACTTGAGAATAGGCGGTGGTGTCTGTTGGTGATTTATTTTTTTGTCAGGGTATGCATATGAATGGGGGTGGGGATAATGAAAAATCAAGTGTTTTCTTATGCAGAGGCTAATAAAATCTTACCTCCTTCAATCTGTAAAATTATTTAACACTGGGTACTAATAAACTGGCATTTCACTTTTCTTGTAGCCATTCCAGAAAACGTATGAGTTTCCCACCCCAAAGGAGCCACAGAGAGCCTACAGATCTCACTGGCTGGGGACATTGCTGTATGATTTAATCGCCTGTGCTCAAAATATTTTAATCTTCATATGTGCAGCTTGTGCATTTTGGAAAGAAAAAATACAGCGTAGCCTTTTTGTGATGCAGTTCCATTGACATTACTGGAGTTGCATATGTTTACATGCTCTGAGAATTCAGTTTTATTTTTCCTTTCTTGTTTAAAGCCCTAGTTTATAAATCCTGTGTGCTCTGTTGCAGTTATATGATGTCCCTCCCAAAAGAGAAACTGATGTTTCAGAAAATGAATCTTGTAAAAAGTGCTGGGACCATTACAATACCTTGCCAAATCCTCGGAAGTCAGAATGGATTTATGATATTCCAGTATCACCTGAAAAAACAGGATTAAAACAAAACCCTTCTGTGGAGAACCAGGTGCTGTATGATATACCACCAGTCAGATACAAGCCGCTAACCACAAATACTGAAGCCAAAGTTTTAAATCCACAATTATATGATATTCCACCAACACAACGGAAATTAACTTTTCCAGATATCCATCTTTATGATGTTCCATCCTCACGGGATATGCTCCTTTTGTCACAAAATGGTAGCTGTGATGTACCCCCTAGTCTCCTGACTCCAAAGACTGAGACTCAGATCTCTGAAGAGAATGTTTATGATATTCCAAAAAGTTTGCCCACCGCTGTGCAGTCCAAGAAAGAGATGGAAGAAGCCAGTGATATTTCTGGAGACCAAGCATACAGTGCTCCTCCAGAGCTCTCAAGATTAAAATTAGAACAAGACACATTATCTGTTTCTAGTGTGGATAGCAGCACATCCTCAAACACTTCTGCTGAGTCTTTTTCTTTGTCATCATCCGAAGAGCCTGTCAAAGAAGTTAAACTGGACCTTGATGTAGCCATCGAGACACTGACTAGACTGCAGCACGGTGTATCCAGCTCAGTTGCAAGTTTAATGATCTTTGTGAGTAGTAAATGGAGATTACAAGAACACCTAGAGAAAAGCCTTGAAGAAATCCGTAGAGCAGTTGATCACATAAAAGTATCACTGGGAGAATTCTTGGCCTTTGCTCAAGCCATAAAGGTAAATGCTTCTTACCTCACTGATAACAACCTTCAGACCAGAATTAAAAAACAGCTAGAAATCCTTATGAACTCATTCAAAATTTTAACAGAAACAAGAGAAGCTCTAAAAAGCTGCAAGTGGTCACTAGAGGCTTTGGTCCTCAGGAAACCTCAGAACAACCCAGATGATCTTGATCGCTTTGTTATGGTAGCCCGCACGATACCAGATGATATCAAGAGGTTTGTATCCATCATAATTGCCAATGGAAAGCTTCTCTTCAAAAAGAATGAGAAGGAACAAGAAATGAAGCAATCAAAAGTGAATCCAGAACACAAAATGGCAAAACAAATCACAATGCCAAGAAGAATCGAAATAGATTCACTTCAAAGAAATAGTCCTGATAAACACGACCAAACTCCGGTCTCTTCTGAAAAGCCAAAAGAAAATGTCACTGAGGACTGTGATTATGTTCAGCTACAGGTTAGTATAACAGGATTTTACTATCTATATTCTTGATCATCTGCAGAGTTTAAGCTATTGGCACTATTTTACCTTTGCACTAGTGGCAAATTCCAGACTTCGTGTGAATTCAGGATCTTGTTAGAGTGCTAGGTGGCACATGTAGAATGATCAGTAATTTTAAGTAATAAAAAGAACTGGCATTTGAGAATTTACCCAGCCAGCCAGCACTGAGAAAAAAAACTTTAGCTTGCTCATTTAAATTCATTTGAGAGACAGCTTTTAGCTGGGGGTTAGCAATTTGTTTCTCTTCATTTGACTGTTAGTTCTCTTTTTGCCAGTACATTTTGTTTGTTTGACATGACTATACAAGAAATGTTAACTTTCTAATTTGAGGCGTATTGGAAAGCATGCTTTCATAGAAAATTTTATTTTAACAAATTAAAGTCTTACTGTGAATTATCAAATTTGTTAAAATAATTTTTTTCTAACATTTAAAAATGTTTGTTAGAATCATTCTCCTTAGAATTACTGCATGTCTACTAAGAATATAACTTTTCTTGGTTTCACAAAGTTAAAATTTAGAAAATGTTATGTTTTGTTGATGTTGGTTTCAGTCTTAGATCTTGCAAGATCAGGCAATAAATTTTTAGGAGGAAAAAAACCTGCAGTTGCTTCTGATAAATGTACTGTTGTTGTCTGTAACATGAGGGCTGCATAGCAAGGAGTTGTTTTCCCCTGAAATAAGAGAAAAACACATTTATATTTCACTATTTTATGTAAACCATTTCAACTTTGATTTCATTTTGATTTGTAACAGGCACAGAAAATCATTTCAGGTAAAGAAGTAGCAAAGAAGAGTACAGATTCAAAACCAAAGGTATTTCTGATTTTGAAAACTATTACTTATGAGGACTTCTAGTCCCTGATTTCTGTGCTTGCTAAAATTCAAAATAAGTTGCATTTGGACACACATATCTGTACATAGATCTGTTTGTTCTTTCATAGTTCATTTTTGCAGAACTAGTTCTTAGAATTACTGCTGAAAACCCGTGCAAAACAATTATTTCCCTGAACCACTCTAGTTTAAAGTAGTACTATTTATTTGCTTGCCTTTGTGTATCATGTGGGATAAGGCTGTGAGAGTTCGTATTTCAAAATAGATTGTCAGGCAGTGGTATAAGGATTGACTCTTTTGTTATTGTAGTTTTAATCATTCATAATCCTCATGAAGTCAACACCATTAAAGTACAAGTCTGAATGTTCTGTACTATCTGAAAGCTTGACGTCCAGACTCTAAAGGACTGATGTTTAGCTACAGCACTTCGCGTGCTATTCATTACTGAAATTGTGTTTAGTGACATTTGTTTAGGGAAAAAAAGGCAATCAGGAGAAAATACCACTTTGAAGTCCATTATTTATCGAAAGAGAAGTTATAAAAGAATCATGGGCTGGGGCAATTTGGAGACTATTAACTAACAAAACTCCCTGTAAGTGAAGAAACATGTGAAGAATAGAGGGTAGAGCAAATAAAGAGTCAGTCAGTGCCACCGAGTCTGATTTTTATTTTTTTTTTTAACCTTTTTCCAGGTTTTGCCATCTGCAAAAAAGACTGTAATTCAAAGCAAGCAGGACTCTGCAAAGAAAATCACTCTCCCAGAACACTGCAAGCTGTGTTTCAGTGCACTTCACAAGGCAATTAGTGTATTTACTAATAGTCTGAGCAATAACCAGCCACCCGAAGTCTTCATATCCCACAGCAAATTGATCATTATGGTGGGACAAAAGTTAGTGGATTCCCTCTGCCAGGAAACTCAAGAAAGAGATGCTCGGAATGACATTCTCCACAGCAGCAGCCGGTTTTGCAGCCTCTTGAAGAATCTGGCTCTTGCCACCAAAAATGCTGCAATACAATATCCAAATGCAAATGCTATGAGGGAACTTCAGGACCAAGCTGAGGAGCTGTCTAAGTACACACAGCAGTTTAGAGCAATGATGGAATGAAAGACACTTTGCTGGTTTTACAAATTCTCCGTTGTTGTTGCTCGTTTGGCACATGGCAGCTCAGTGACACCAGCTTGCAGTCACCGCTAAGAACTGGGCAGTTCCCTGGGGGGCAGGGGAAGATCCACACAACAGCAGATGTAGAAGAGGATGTGTAGAATTAAATCAGTGCTTTCTTCTCCATTGTTCAGATCCTGCCTGGAAATGTCATCTTAGTAGCCGGGCAGAAATGTTTGCTGTGTACTAGAGCAAAATTATTTTATTATCTGGCTGATTTCTTATTCTTTAATTTCTATAGAGGTCAGAGAAATTTGTTTTTTCTATTCAGGTATGTAAAGTTTAAATTTTGCTGCACAATGTGCTGTAACTTATGATATCCCATCATCAATTGTTTCCTGAGGACTTGACTCAAAATTTGCAATTACCTTTTTTTAAAAAAAAAAAAACCAAAAACAGCTGCAAAGCTTTTTTTTTGTTTTAATTTACAAATGGGATGAATGTATTATGAGACAAAATCTGGCAGGTACTACACGTAGCTTTAGATGTTAATGGGAAATGTTCCGGCTGGTACCAGAGCACAGAGGAAAAAACTGACTTTGGAGGAGTCCCGGCTCCTGATAAATCTACGGGGAGCACACCTCGGTCGTCCTCTGTCGCAGCCTGGAGCTGTTCAGAGCATTGCTCCACCTGAAACAGAATTTATTGTAGTCACTAAATACGCAAAGGCTTTGGACAAGCTCTTCCTACCAACTGGACAGGTGACCTTATTTCTTGCTGGTGAGGCTGCTCAGGCCCTTACTGTGTAGCTCGATAACTTTATCCCCAGATTTGCTGGACCTGAAATACAGCGGTGAAGGCCCTGTAACCACACAGGTGTATCGTTTGTACGCCTGTGTTATTTGTATTTTTTCTAATTAATTTATTTTAAAGTTTTTTAGCTGAAATTTCAAAAACGTAGCCTTTCTTGGCAGCGCTGTACCTGTGTCTTCGCCCTGAAAATGGACGACTGGCGTTGGGCAGTCCCAGCTAATCTGCACTGCGCCAGTGCCCACGCGCCTGTTGGCTGAGGAAAAACCACTTCCCTCATCTTTTTTGTTTTATTTTTACTTGGCAGTCACCATGTTTTATACCGGTATTTAAACGTCGATGTTTGTAAATATTGTTTGCACAGTTAAATGCAGTAACTGCATTTCACGTTGGCTTTGTACGTTTTGTATTAAACTCACTCCTGGAACTACCGAGTTTTTGTCACTTCCCAGCCAGGGAACGCCTCGTTTGGCCAGAAATCCCCCAAAGTGGGTGTCCTGGGGCGGGGTTTCCTCACCAAAAAAAAAAAAAAAAAAAAAAAAAAAAAAA